TTCTCAGGTGGAATACTCTCTGCTCTCAACAGGATCTGGACACAAGGAGGAGCCCAGCTGGCCCCAGAGTCAATGATCCCTTCACCTTCTGCTCCAGAGGAATGGCAGAACTCCAGGAGCTGCCACCTGAGCCCCCCACCTTGGCAAGCACAAATGGATGTGGAAAACCCCCTGCCCTCCACAAATCCTCTGGCTCCAGGGGTTTATCACCACCCCAGACACACATCTCTATATAAACTAAAGGAGCACACCTGCACCCCTGTGAAAGGGACAGCCCCGAGAGCCCAGGGAGCAGCTCCCAGAGCTTCCCCACCTCCCCTTCAGGGACAATCCAGGATTCACCCACAGCTGGAGAAGCTGCCTCTGGTGCCAGCCCGTGAGCAAAGCCCCAGGGAGGGCAGGCTGGGCTCTGGGGCTCTCCCATGGGGCTCCAGCACCCACGGCCATCCCCAGCCGAGTGGGAAAAGCCTCCACAGCGAGCAGAGAACTCCTCTCTGAAGCACTCTGGAAAATAGATGCACTTTATTTCCCGTTGGCAAAGTGAAACTATGGAGGAAAGCTGTTTAATATAAAAACATCTGACAAAGCACCTCCAGGATGTATTTTTTTGCATCAAAGAAGGAGCTCTTGGCAAGGGGCTCGTTCCTCCGACCAGGAGAGGCTGCAGCCAAACCCTGATTGTTCTAGACTGCACGGGGGAAGGCAAGCCAGCAAAGCTACAGTTAAATGTGAAAGAAAAAAAGAAACCAAAACCCAAACTGGCCCAAACAAACATCTGTCTGTGATTAAACTGGATGCACAGATAGGTTGTGTCTTTCTAAAAGGATTTGTTCCTGCAGGAAGGGAGGGGAGAAGGGATGAAAAGGCTCCAGGGTGGTGCTGGGCCAGACCCAGCCCCAGCCTAGAGCTGTCACTGAGTCTGTCCTCAAAACCCCACATTTCCCCAGAAGAAGCTGCTGTCCCATTAGTGACAGAAATACCCTTTTTTCTGTGAACAGGTAATTCCAGAACCTCTCCCCCAGCCCGGAAAGGGCAATGTTTGCCCAGTTGCCACACACATCCGCCTGACACATTTAATGGGCTCCTTTTTTTTTTTTTTTCCTACTCCTAACACACAGGATCTTCATAAATTTCCTTGTTAGCATAAATCCTGCAGCCTGTTATTTCTGGGGGGGGAGAGGAAGGGAGACGTTCACTTTCTCCATTCAGTGGGTTTTAAAATATGCTTCCTTAAGTTCATCCTAAATATTGCTGGAAGCAGAAAAAACCTTCTGGCTCTTGCCTGGAGCTGTGGCATCACCTCAGCAGGGCTGAGTCACCAGCTGGGATGGATTGGATGCTCCTGCCTTCTTCCTCCCTTTGGGGATACAGGGACCCTGCTCCCCAAATCCAATAATCCAATGTCCCCAGCCCCACCACTGCCCTGCAAAAACTGCCCCATCTTAAAAAGAAAAAAAACAATCAAACCAGAAATAATTTAAATAAGCTCCTGCCCATTCAGTCTCTGTTTTTTTCTCTCTGTTAATTCTCAGCTTTCCTCCACCACCATCAGTCACCAAGCACAGCTCATCTCCACATGGAGCTCAGCACCTTCTGGACATCAGCAGAGCTGCTGGAATAAACTCATGACTTTGTTTCCATTTCCAGGTGGAAAACACCTTCCTGCTGCTTTGGAGCACAGACAGAATTCATCTCTCCTCCAACAAACCACCAATGCAATATTTCTTCTTCAGGATGCCCATTTTCAGCTCGGATTCACCAGAGCTGAAACTCTTGGAGAGTTTTAGCACATGGGAAGTGATTTCAAAGTTTAAGAACACCCAAAACAACTATTTTTGGAAAAAATTAATCATTATGTTCCCTGGGGATGGTCAAGCCAGCACAGAGACCTACAGATGCAAGGCCACCTATAGCTCTCCCACCTGCCCTCCCCTATTCAAAGTCAGCACTAACAAGAACTTTGCCCAATGTTCACAGTGGGGCTTTTCCAGCAGGAATGGGGCAATTCCATGGGATTCAAGAAAAAATCCTTCCCAGGGCCAGTGAGGGAGAGCCCTGTGGGACTCAGAGGAAAGCAGGAATCCCAGAGCCCACAGCAGTGCTCCATCCCATCCCACCCCATCCCATCCCTGCAGAGGCTCAGCCCTCCCCATGCCTGGCAAGTCCAACGGGTGCAGCAGCTTCTTGGCAAGTGCTGGAGGAGCCAAGTCTGAGGGGAAGGGAAAAGAAATTACTACAAATGTTCCACCAATTATGAGTCACGAGGCTGAGCTTTGTTCCTGCCTCGCTGGGCTTTGCCCTTTCCCTGGTATTTCCCCAGCCCTGCTGGGACGCCAGGGCTGGCCAAGGCTCTGCTGCTCCCAGGGGACACAGAGGCTCAGCCCAGGCCAGGGAACCACCTGGGCTTCAAACAGAACCCCAAACAGCAGGTCCTGCTCAGCCCTGCTGCCCAGGCAGGAATGAACACACGGAGGAAAGGATGGAGCTCTCTCAGTGCTGAGTGTGGCACTGCCCGAGCTCAGGAGGAGCAAACTGCAGGCTCAGACACCCCCAAGTGCCTTTGGCCTCCAACCCAGACCTTCCCAGGCCACTGCACCTCCTGGGAGAACAGCAGCACCCCCATTCCAAGGGAGAAGCTGTGGCTGGACACTGACCCTTGCACAAGCAACTCTGCTCCAAGACCCAAACGTTTGAACAGGAGATGAAGAGAGCTCTGGGGAATCATCCATGGATCCAGGTCACATCCACCCACCCACAGCCTGTGCTTCAGTCAGCACTGACTGCTCCTCTGAACTTCACACTGAGCCTGACACTTCACTGTTTCCCTCTTTTAAGGGTAATATTTTAGCCATGGAAGGCTCTACTTCAAAAAAAAGGGTTTGTTATTTTTTTAAATTAACACACATGACAGAGATCATCTTTTGCCTTCACTCTAAAACCTCCTGTTTGGAAGTTCATCAAGTAAAGGAGAAACAGGAGAAGAATGGTTCTCTGTTACACAAAATTGAATTTTGTGGCTTTTGTAGGAAAAGCCTTTTTGATGATCAAAGCTGGACCAATAACAGCAGTGGCTTGATGCTAGATCCAAAATGTACTCATTTTGGAAGACAAGCTAAATGCACACTGAGTACACAAGAGGAGGCAGGGAGGACCACGTGCTTTGTGTATCACTCCCACAGACATACATTTCAAGCAGAGCTATTAAATGAGCTGAAATGGAGAATAAACAAACTGAAATGAGGCAGGTAGACTGGAGCCTAAGTGGGTTTTTCCCTTGTACTTCCCCGTGATGACATGTATGGGTTAACTTCAGCAGGGCTCTTATCCTCTTTCAGCAATCCTGAGCACTGGGGAAAAATAAATCACCCAGCCCCAGACTCTTATTAAAAGTTACACCATTGGAAACAGCACAGGGGGAGAGGAGGGATCTGGTTTCAGCACAATCTCAGTCACATGTTATCATTATATTGTTCAAGGAAAAGTTAAAATCTCTCTTCTCTCCAGCAAACCCACCAGATGTCCCATAAAGGCTGAGCCACGAGGGAAGCTAAACCATTACATCTTCAGGAACCCCACTTTTGCAACTTGGCTGCTGTAATTAATGCCAATTATCAAGTTACAACAAAAGCCACGGGCACAGGGAGCTTTAGGGATGTGCATCCAGCCCTAGGAATGTTTGTTAGGAACTGCAAACACACATTTATTAGAGCACGAGGCTGAATGATCCCAGTCCTGCTATCAACTGTTCCCCTGCTCTGGACACTTGGCAGCACAGCAAAAGCCCAAGCACAGGGACACCTGAAAGGACAAGGGGAAGGGAAGATCCCCAGAGGGAAATGAGCCGCTGTGCCATGATACAGACCCTCTGCTGTCTGAACACCCTTTGGAGCTGGGATCAGCCTAAACATCCCCAGGAATGCGCAAGCCTCACCAAACTTCTCACCAGACTGACCATGAACTCTTGCAAGGAAAGAAAATGAAGAGAAATGCCACAGCCAAGGGGCCAGGACCCCAAAGGTCCCCTGCAGCACCTCCCCTGACCCACAGCATCCCCAAGGAGCAGCACATCCCATCCATGTGCTCAGCAATCCAGCCAGGAGCCCCCGAGGTGCCCCAGCCCCCCCCCAGCTGCTGAAGAGGCACGAGGGGCTCCATCAAAGTCCATGTTAGTCTGCCTTCATCTCAGCTCTCAGACCATGAACCAGGCAAAGGAATTAAGCCTGGTCCTACAGGCAGGCCTCTCCTGTCACACAGCGAGCCCCCAGCAGGGACAGAGATGTGCTGAGCCAAGGACAGCCCCAGCTCTCCCTGCTGTCAGGGAAAACCACCCCAGGCCTTGCAGAGCCCCATTAAGTGAATGAAAGGTTGCAGGGTGGGGCAGAGCAAAAACCAGGACCTAATTAAGCCAAGCTTTGTTCGGGATCTTCAATGGCTCCGTAGCTGGGAGCCTGCTCATGAAAGCAGGGAGTGCAGCCTGGGGCCAGGGCCCAACAGGTAACACCAGCCCGACGGTCCCGGCAGGAACCAGAGAACCAGAACCTCCCCACAGCAGCAGCGCTGCAAGGGCCCCAGTGCCTGCCATGGAAATGGGGAGGGCCCACGGCCCAGCCATGGAAATGGGGAGTGCTCACAGCCCAGCCATGGAAATGGAGAGGGCCCACAGCCCAGGCCCACAGACCTGCCATGGAAATGGGGAGGGCCCACAGCCCAGCCATGGAAATGGGGAGGGCCCACAGCCCAGCCCCACAGCCTGGGACCCATCCTGGTGGCCTCCACACAGGACACATGTGGCCCTGTGGCCACCTCCAAACATCCCTGCTCGCCCTACAAACAGCATCTTATCACAACATGCACAGCATGGATGTCTTTGGAAAATGAACTCAAACAACTGCTCTTTGTCCTTCTCTGCACACCCAGAGCACAAACCAGGACCCCCATCCCCTCCTGCCCCACCACCAGCCCCCATGGAGGGGGAAAAGCACCAAGAGCTGCCAACCAACCTGAGAAATCTCCAGGCGTGACGTTGGGAGAGTTTGTAGCCTCTGTTTCAGTGTAAGACAACGTGGAATCTGATAGATCTGGGGGAGAAAACAAAAGAAAGAAAAGCACTTTCAGTCCTGCTGCGTTTGCCAGTGCTACGTGAGCACCCGTGGCTGCTGGGCTTCCCGGCACCTCCCCAGGAGAGAAACTCTGCACAGAGCCAGAGAGCAGCCATTAACTTTGGAGCTCCACCACGCAAATGCAAAGTTTGAATTGCCTCGACCACAAAAATAACTCCAGTTAAGTTGATCAAACAAGTAGGAACTTGGTGCTTACTGGATAAAGTTACATTAAGCCTCTAAACAAGTCAGAGTTACTATACTTAATTATCACCATTAAAATTCTTGAAGCTGTTTATTCTTGCTTCCTTCCTTCCTCTTTGCTGAAGCGAAGGAAACTTTGTTTTAACAAGTTAAGAGTCTTTGTTATTCTCTCTTGCTTACACCCCTCTAATTAAGTGCTCAACTGTTTGCTCACAGATTAACTATTATTTTTCCAATCAAACAAGCCAGTGAAGCAAATTTCAACCCCTGGCTGTTGTTTTAATAAAGTCACGTGTCACTCACTATCATCTCTCCCTGCAGCACAAGCAGTTTCTAAAAGGAATTAACTTGGAAGGGGGAGTGCAGGGAGGGACAACTCCTTTTTTTTGCCTCCACACCTAACAAAAAAAAGAAAAAAAGCCACCAGCAGCCAAGTTGGCCTTGCAGGCTGCTCTGGCCACAGCCCTGTGGTGATGGAGGCGCCGGGCACGGGGTGCACACATGGCTGAGCTGCTCCCAGGCTGGCAGGGCAGGGGCAGCAGTGCCTTCCCCCGGGGCTGTCCCCTCCTTGTCCTGCCAAACCCCGTCTGTCTCCTCCCTGTCCCTGCCCCATGGCAGCAAAAGCAGCTCCCCCGGGCATTAACCCCGGGAAATGACTGACCAAGGTCTCAGCTGCACTGATCCCAGCAAGAAATCCAAGAGGGATGTGGGATTCCTCCCTTGCCTCCCATGCTCCCAGGTCTTTGCTTCCCATTTAATTGCATAATGAAGAAGCAGGGCTGGAGAAGATGGTGAGGATGCAGCAATGGCAGCTCAAAACATCTCCAGGCCAGCATGCAGCACACAAGACCAGGATCCAGGGCTGCCAGCCTGCACCCAGCCTGGCCACCCCAAAGCTGCTCTCACCAACTCTGCCTGGAAAACCTTTCCTAATTCCCCAGGAGAAGTGACACCCCGCTCAGAAATGACACAGTGCTGAGTTTCAAAGGGTTTCCATCTCTTTGTAAGGAGCAGAGGAAGGGTAATAGCTGGTTCCTGCATGGAGCAGCACAGCCGGGCCTTTATGGAAATGGCACCAGGAGCTCCCACTCCCGCAGATTACACACGCAGACAAAACATGACGTCTGGTAACCTTTCATTACGCCTTCATTAAAAATAGAGCTTCATATTATTTTGGAAAATATGCATGTGTCTGCACGGTAATTTGGTAGGATAAACTGGCATCCATTTACTTCTTAAAACTTGTCAGCTGATGCTTGCTCAGAAATAATGAGCAGCCATAAAACCCCGACTTGTTGGCTTTTGCCTGGCGTGCCAGGCAGGGCTGTCTCAGAACCAGCACCGGGGCTGCACCATGAAAGAGTTCCCCGAGATCAAAAGACACAAAACACGTACCCAGTGGCTTTTGCTCATCATTAGGAGACAGCCGAGAGTAGGGAGGTGGTGGAGACTCTGGAAAAACAAAACTTCAGGTTAGTGCTGTGCTTGGTTTATCAACAAACCCTCTCGCTTTCTCTTTTGGGGTAGGAGGAACTCTTCCAAGGTTATAAACACCCAGTGAAAAACAAAACACTTGGAAGCAACTGGAGACCAAGGTTTCCCTAATTTTTGAACAATGGGAGTCCCACCTTGAACTTTCAAAGTGGGCTTTGCTAGTGAAAGTGCAGCATCCCTCTGCCCCACATCTGTGCCTGGACACTCACAGATTGAGTCACACAAAACATCAAATTGCTCTCCAAGAACCCCACTTCCATCATCTGCACTGTGAGACAACCTTCCATGGGTGACTCCAACACACAGGGCTTGACAAGAGCTCCCCAAACACTTCCCAAGCACTGGAAAGAAGGATTGGGTGGTGAGGAGGCTCCTCCTGGCACACAGGGCTGGCACCAGAGCTGGGCTGGTTGGCCACCAAGCCACCCCATAACCTCAGTCCATCCCAAAAGGCTTTGGCAGTAGAGTGGCTCAGGAGCAGAGGCCACCACGATCCCCCTCACCCTGAATCCATCCCACAAAGCTCCTGAGCTCAGCTTTACGCAGCAGCACTGAGCAGCCATGTGCTCCAAGCTCAGCAAGTCCTCAGAGGGGCTTTGCTGGACCAGGTCATTCAACCATTCCCACTGTTCTTGGAAGGGTCCAGGCCCTGATCACAGGGGTTTCTTTCCCCCTTCCACAGTATGGCAGTGATGTTTCTTGAACTGTAACTTGCCAAAACTGAGCGTGCAGCCAGCTGGGCTGTACCAGCATCGAGCAGGCACCGGCTCCAGGGAGAAATCGCTCTGTGAAGTCCCTGAGTGGCAGCACACCGACCCCAGAGCAGGGAAACGAGGCAGTGCCCTCAGCCCCCACCCGGAGCTGAGGGCAGCACCTGCAGCTCACCCCGCTGGGCTCCCCAAAAAGCACCTCAGCATCCCCCGTGATTCGGCTCTGGGGTCATCCACTGCTTCTCACAAAAGCTTCCCCATTCCCCCCAAGGGAGCAGCTCTTCTCGCAGGGTGCTTATAAATCCCAAAATACAGAAAAATAAAAGCGCTGGTGTCCACATGGGGAGGTAAGAGCCAGACCCGGCTGTGCTGGTGCCACTCCATCCTGCTGTCACCAGGGACTCGTTGGAAGCCCCCCAGGACTTTCACACCCCAACGGGTGGGAAACAGCAGCAGGATGATCCCTGCAGGGAGCCACTTGTGGAAAAAGGGCAGCAAGGCCTTCTCCTGGCTCCTGTTACCAGCGCCCAGCCGGCGCGGGTGGGGTCCTGGCACAGCCACCCGTTATCAAGGTGATAAGGAGCCACTCGATAACAGCTCTGCTTTCTACTACTCCCAGCACAGGGCTGGCAGCCGCTCACGCTGGGAAAACCACCCCGGCTGCAGGACAGACACCGGAAACCTTCTCCCGTTTCTACAAGAAATGCCCCGTTCCTAAAAACGCAGCTCAGCTCCAGCGGGAGCAAAAGAGCTGCCTCCAGCCTCTAGCTACCTTCGGGAGAAGCACGCCCAGAAGAGAAGTTTCTTTGAAAGAAGTGATGCAAAGCGAGGCAGGAGCCCAGATTGCAACAGAAATAATAAAATCAAAGCTCTTGACAAAAAAAGGGACGGTCAGCACAGAATCATAGGATGGTTTGGGTTGGAAAGGACATAAAAAATCATCTCGTTCCACCCCTGCCATGCCAGGGACATCTTCCACTGTGCCAGGCTGCTCCAAGCCCCATCCAACCTGGCCTGGGACACTTCCAGGGATCCAGGGGTAGCCCCAGCTTCTCTGGGCACCCTGTGCCAAGGCCTGCCCACCCTGCCAGGGAACAATTCCTTCCCAATATCCCATCTAACCCTGCCCTCTGGCAGTGGGAATCCAGCAGTCCAGTCTCATTGCAGTTCTTGTACAGCCTATTAAATATTATTTCCATTTCTGCACCTCAAACTCCAACATGTCTCTGCTCCATCTAACCATTCCCTGCTGACATGGACACACGATCGAGCGTTGCTGAAAAAAACAAAAAACCCTCAACGAGCCCAAACCCCCGCCTGGAAAACGCTTATCTCTGCCCACGGTAAAAAAGAAAAAAAAAAGATAAACGCTGGAGACTTGCAGGAGCCCCCGCAGTCCCCGCGGGTGCGGGGATCCCCGCGGCGGGGACATCCCCGCGGCCCCCCCGAAGAAGCGCCTGCGGCTTTAAGCCGGCGGCGGTGACCGCCCGGCTCCGATAGGAGCGAGCCAGGCTGGCGCCAGCGGGATGGAGCCGCCGATTATCGCCCGTCCGGCTCCCGGAGAGCGGGGAAACTCCGCGGGAAGGGGAAAAAACCAATAAAGGGAAAGGGCTTTTTACGCACAACTGGCAGCGCTGGCTCCCAGAGAGGGGGGATGCCCGGCGGGGACCCCGGAGCGGGCGCGTCCCCCCGGGCATCCGCGCAACACCGCGGGGCCGGGGCAGCGCTGCCCACCAGGGCTCCGATAAACCCAGCGAGGGGTCAGAAACCCCGAACCCCCAAATCCGTGCGTGTTTGAACCGGGGGTGGGGGGGACCCAACTCGCCGCTGCTCACCTGGCCCACAGAGGCGGCTGAAGTGGTAGGGGTTGCAGCAGACCGTGGGTCCGTCGGCCACGCCGAAGCTCTGGCACTCGCAGAGGGGCTTCAGCTCGGCGGGGTGCTGCAGGTCGGGCCAGCGGAACAGCTTGCCCAGGAGGAGGTGCGGGGGCGCCGCCAGGCCCCCCAGGCGCACCTCGGTGCGGGCCACCAGGACGCAGCCGCCGGGCATCCCCCCGCGGGACTCCACCGCCTCCAGCAGGCTGTCTAGCGAGCGCTCCTTCAGCCGCTTCAGCAGCGAGTAGGTGACGGCCTTCAGCTCCTGCTCCAGCAGCAGCAGCCGCGCCCGCGCCTCCCGGCCCCGCCGCTCCGGGGAGCCGCCGTCGGCCGCGCCGTCGGGGCCGGCGGCGGGGGGAGGTTGGGGGCCGCCCGGCTCCCGCTCCGAGAAGAGGCAGCAGGTCACGGTCCGGCCGTCGCTCTCCGGCGCGGAGCCGGGGGCGCGGAGCCGGGCCCCGCGCCGCTCCGCCATGGGGTCCCCGCGCGGCGCCGCCGCCGCCTCGCCCGCCGCCCCGCGCCGCTCCTCCGGCTCCCGCAGCAGCAGGCTGCGCGCTACCGCGCGGAGCTCCACCGAGGGGCTTTTCTCCGCGATCTTGCAGCTGCCGGTGGCTCCGAGGTCGTGGCCGCTCCTGGCGCTCCCATCTCCGCCGTCCCTGTCCGGAATGACGCGGCTCCTCCAAAGTCGCCGCACCAGCCCTGAGCGTTTGGACCTGAACATACGACCCGCGGGCGGCCGGGGGTCGCGTCGCTGTCCGCCGCCCCCCGCCCTCCTCCGCGGGGCTCCTCGCTCCGCCGCCGGCTCTATCTCATCGCAGCCCCGGAGCAGCCCGGACTCCCCGCGGCGCTGCTGCCCAGCGGATCTCCGACGGCCCGCGGCGGGGCCGCACCATGGGGGGGGCGGCGGGGCGGCGCGGGCATAGACGGCGCCGCGGGGGCCGCTCCCGTGGCGGCGCTGGGGCTCGGGCGCGCCGCGCCGTGCCCTACATCGGCTGCCAACGCGGGGCCGGGCGGGGAGCGGCGGGGGCGAGGGCCGGGGGGAGCCCGGGGCAGCGCTCGGCTGCGCCCCGCGGCCGCTCCACCATACAAGGTGGGGAGGAGCGGAGAAGCGCGCCCGGCGCGGGGGTGCCGCCCGGCGGGGAACCGGCGCCGGGGGCCGCTCGGAGGCGTCGGATCCCTTCAGCCAAAAATAGTATTAAAAAAAAAAGTAAAAAAAAAAATTATAAAAAAAAAGAAGGGAAAAAAATTAAATCAGAAAGGCGAAGAAGCAGCAGCACCAGCAGAGCTCGCAGCGCAGGCCGGTTGTCAGCGCGTCCCTTGTCCGCATCGCAGGGCGCGGCCCCGGTCCGGCGGGTCCCCGCGCTCCGTGCGCGGCTCCCGGGGCCGCCGCCGCCGCCCGCTCGCGCCCGCCCGCCCCTCGCCGGCTTTTGTGTGGCCGGGGCGCGCGCGCGGGGCCCCTCGCGAGCGGCGCCGCCATTGGCTGCCGCCCATCATGTGCCAGTCTAGACACTCCGGCGGCTCCGCGCGGCACCGGCCCTTGCGCAAACACCGGCTCGGGTTTCCGACCGCTTAAAGCGCCCCGCGCCCCGCGCCGCCCCGCGCCCGCCCGCCGCCGGCCCCGCGCGGCCCCGCGCTGCCGCGGGCCGGGGTGAGGGGGGGTCGCCCCGCGGGGAGCGGCGGCGCGGGGCGGGGGGGGAGGGCGAGCGCGGCGCGGTGAAAGTGGGTCACGGCAGCGAGGGGGTTAACGGCCCCCCCGCGGGCCGCGCGCCGGACACACCCCCGCGATGTATCAACTTGTCCGCCGTGGCAAAAGTTCAGGCCCGGCGCGCTCCCATTGGCCCGCGGCCGCGTGACGCGCGGTGGCACCGCCTCCCATTGGCCAGCGCGCGGCGCGGGCCCCGCCCCGCTCCCAGCCCGGCGCGGCCGTGAATGAACGGCGGCCCCGGGAGCGCGGCGGCACCGCGGGCTGGGAGAGAACGGGGAACGAACCGGGGAACGAACCGGGGAACGAACCGGGGAGCGAACGGGGGGACACGGACCGGCCCGGGCCGCCAGCAGCGCCGCCGGGAGCGGGGCGAGCCGCGGCCGTGTGTCCCGCCCCACGGCGGCACAGTGCCCGTGGGGAGCGGCGCCCCGGGGATGGGAGCCATCCCGGTAACCCTTCCCCGAATACAGAATGAATAAATAAATCCCTGTAAAACAGCCATTCCCGCACGCCCCGGGAGGCGAGCCCCGGTTCGGAGCAGGACGGCTTTACCCATCCTCGCTCCATGCCAGCGATGCGGGGAGGTTCCCCCACCCTGCGTGGATCGGTGGGAACCTGCTGCAGGAAAGGCTTGGGGCCAGCCTGAAGGCTTCGCTAATGAGCAAAAGTTAATCTGGGCAATTAATCGCCCAGCAGTTGATCAGTTAAGGGAAAAACATCCAAAACCAAATAAATGAAATTGTTTCTACCAACAGAACCTAGGCAACCTGAATGTTCGCAGTTTTTCTCTTGGAATCTTTTGGGTAGCTTTTTCCATACCTGAAGGCTTCTGCCCAAATTTCTGTCCACATTTCCCCAAATCTGCCCTAATCCACCCAAGAGCACAATTTTTATCTACTCGCTGAAGACTACCTTTTTTTTTTACAGCAAACCTTATCAATGCAGCATCAAATGCTCCATTTAAAATCCACAGGTGTGTGCCACCAATGTTTGCCCCAACATAAACACAGAATGTAAATAGGTATTTTGATTTTGGGGTCACTTCTGCCCCTTCTGACCTTTAGGACCAGGGGCAAAGCTCATTTTCCCCTGCCATTTTGGGGTGGGGTTTAGGAAATGTGCAGCTTGCCTGGTTAAGGATATAAAAACTCCTACAAAACCCGTGAGGGACTTGCTGCCCCTGACACTGCAGCCACGTTTCACATCTGAACCATGGTTTGGGCTGAAATCACCCAACACTCCACTGTGGGAGGGAAATGCCTTTTTCACAATGAAAAGGCACAAAAGAGGTCAAAAAAACAAACAAACAAAAAATCATCTTTAGCCATGAAAGTAGAAACTGGGATTGCCTGGATCTCATGGAATCATGGTTTGGGTTGGAAGGGACCTTAAAGCCCATTTGGCTTCACCCCTTACCATGGCAGGGACACCTTCCACTGTTCCAGGCTGCTCCAACCTGGCCTTGGACACTTCCAGGGATGGATCTGCAGCCCTGGTGGGATCCCTGCCCATCCTGGGGCTGCTCCAGAGAGCTCCCAACCCTTGTTTGAAATCCCCACAGATCACCCTGCCCTGTGTGACCCCAGGATTCTCCTCCCACCACTGTCCTTCCAAGCTGTCACACAAATTACAATATGTCCCAAATGTGCAATTACCAGCATTTAAATATATATAAATGTTAAATATAGCAGTGCTAGAGCCAAGAATAGGTTATTATTGCAAGCAGGACTCATCCAAGGCTCTGTAATCACAGAGTGTGCAGTATGGCAGCAAGAACAATGGGGCTTTCATGGGCTGTGGAGCAGCCCAGCATCTCCACGGGCCCAGGTATGCAGGAGCAGCCCCACTGCACCCGGAATGCCATCCATCCCAGCCCCTGCAGCAACAACAGCACATTGTTCACATTGTTCCTGCTCCTGCCCCAGCGTGGGCAGCCACAACAGAGCCCTCGATTGTGCCCCCACAATGCACGTACAATTTATAGTAATGGTGCTTATTAAAGGATTGCTGCTGATTAACAGCAATGTCCTCTTTCACTGGCTTTTTTTTAAACCACCTTTTTTTTTTTGCCTGTCATAATAACAAACATTCCTGGGAGATGCTCTGGAACACATCCTATAGGTCTTGGCAGGGAAGCTGCAGAGAAGCTTTTGAAAGCCTGCCAGTGTTATCTGACATGGATCTCCCAGGTATGACACAAAGCCAAATCCTCCTGGGTGGCCAGGAGGGCACCAACCTCTTCCCAAAGCCAAACTGCAGCTGGGATGGGGGAAAAAGGGGGACAGGGACCAGCCCTGCCTCTGCCAGCACCCTCAAAAGCATCAGCAGAGCCCAAACCCCGGCTGTGGCACTCCAGGTGTTCAGTAAGGAAAATTAATATCAGCAATTTCTGCTTTAAAAAAAACCCTCAGTATTCGATACATTCCTGATCAAAAAGAAGAATGCAGGGGTTAAAACACAAAATGAAGAACTGACACTTAAATGATGTTGTAGGAGCTCAACTTGCAGGTTATTTTAACGCCTTGAAAACGGGGGGCAGATGGGGGCCCCCAAGGGATGGGGAGGGCTGGGGGACACATTGCACCCCCTTTTCCCCCAGGAATGGGGGCTCGGAGTGTCTGAGCCCCAGCAGAGAAAGCACCACAAACCTGCTGCGCCACAGCCAGGGGCTCTGCCAAAAACTAAAATGCCTCATAAAATCCTGCTGGTTTTGCTGGAAGCTGATTTTGAAAGGAACCAGAGAAAAAAGGTTTTGACAACATCAGAATGTCCCATTTCCTTTGTTTTCATGACATTGCCATGATTTTCCAGTTCAAACTGACTTTTCATTTTGCTCTTGCAAATGTTATACCCCGTGTGGTAACACACTGTGATAGGACCTTGGCCTCTCTTCAAAATGGAAAAAGCTAAAATCAGAATGAGACATTTTGATAAATCCAAAGTATAAAAAAAAATTATGTTTGAAGAGTTTTCCTCCATGGAGAATTTCCCAGCTGCTGGACTCCACACTCCCAGAGCTCCTTGGCATCTTGAAACCCTTTGTGCAGAGGGGTGATCTCACCTCAGCACCTCAGGCTGTGCCCCCATCCTGGAGGAGCTGCAGCCTTGGCAAACCCTTCCCATGGGATGTAACCACACTTCCCCAGCACTCCTGGGGTATCAAATCCTGCGATGGTTTGGTTCGGAAGGGACATTAAAGCCATCCAGTGTCACCTCTGCCATGGCAATCCCAGGCTGCTCCCAGCCCTGACCAACCTGGCCTTGGGCACTGCCAGGGATGCAGGGGCAGCCCCAGCTTCTGTGCCAGGGCCTGCCCACCCTGCCAGGGAACAATTCCTAATTCCCAATATCCCATCCATCCCTGCCCTCTGGCACTGGGAGCCATTCCCTGTGTCCTGTCCCTCCATCCTTGTCCCCAGTCCCTCTCCAGCTCTCCTGGAGCTCCTTCAGGCCCTGCAAGGGGCTCTAAGATTTCCCTGGAGCCTTCTCCTCTCCAGGTGAGCATTCCCAGCTCTCCCAGCCTGGCTCTGGAGCATCACCCTCAGCCCTGTCCTGATGTGTGGGGACATCAGTGCAGGAGCCTCTGTCAGGCCAGGGAATGCCCAGGTGGGTGCACTGACATCCCAGCCCATCCATCCATCCATCCATCCATCCATCCATCCATCCATGAATCCATCCATCCATCCATCCATCCATCCATCCATCCATGAATCCATCCATCCATCCATCCATCCATCCGTCCATCCATCCATCCATCCATCCATCCATCCATCCATCCATCCATCATCCATCCATCCATCCATCCATCCATCCATCCATCATCCATCCATCATCCATCCATCCATCCATCCATCATGCATCCATCCATCCACCATCCATCCATCCATCCATCATGCATCCATCCATCATCCCTCCAT